GAAGATATCAATTAGTATACTGATATGTATCAATGTATTACTATGTAGATATATGATGGTATAGATTTCGATCGAGAGCAACGTCCAGAAAAGTTTACAAGTAATAGTCATCGGGAAGAATTAAGAGATCGATATAGACTAGTAAGGCCAGGTGAGTGCATATTAGATATTATATGATGTTTAATGGAAATAAGACTTGCAACAAGTCTATTTCCGATAATATTATGCATGAATTAATGAACTTGAGTTTTTGTTTGTTATGGGTGTATGAGTAATATGTTATTTTATCTGTGACATGATTTGTATGAATTTATGTTAGTGTGATAAGATATAAGAATCAGTATAAATAATATATATGTTTACATAAATTATATGATGATATAAGAATAGATATGAAATTATATGAGTATAAAAGATAAGTCATGTGATAATATTTAGGTAATTTATGGAAATGAAAATACATGAATATGAAGAGTTATAAGAGAACAAATATAAGTTATATGATAATGAAATACAAGACTATGTGAATATATGGTTATACGGTAAAATATGTAATAATAGGAGAATATGATGAAAGTGAATTCATGATAACAATAGGAACTAGGTAAACATGTATAAAGGTTATATGAATAATGGAAACATGAATTAGACAAGTACATAGTGATATGATCAATTATGAGAATTAGTGTATTAGATATTATATGATTTATGAGAATTTAAGAAAACTAGACAAGATTGAATTATAAAATGAACTGAGAATAATATATCACTTAGTAAACTTGTATATAAAGTGATGATATACACATATAATATAAGATATATGTTTATAAATATGACATATGTTATGTAATATAAGTGCATATCAAGAAATAAAGAATAAGATAGATGATACGATATAAATTATATTAAGAATTAGTGAGGTAGAAATGCGATATAAATATGCAATAAAAGTTATGTGTTATATGATAAATTTAAACATATGAGAACAAGAGCTAAATTATATGAGAAAGATTTATAGGCTTAAATGAAGAAATAGGAAGATGTTATAGGAGCTATTTGATGATAATTTTTAAGAATATATGTATATGTGATAAACTATGTGAAACTGAACTAAGGCAATATATATAACTGATGTGAGTATAAAAGTACAAACCATAAGTTATATGATATGAGATAAGTTATTATATGTACATGTGAACTATATGGAAATGAACTACGTGACTATGTGTGATCTTATGGAAATGTGATAATGAGTTACGTGGAAGAACTATGAGATTATATGTATATGTGAATATGAGATAATCTAAATATTAATTCCCATGTTATGTGTCAAGTGAGCTAGAGGTATAGTTGGCATGCCAAGAGTCGAGGGTGTACGCGGTCCTTCGGGACATATATGTATTCTTTGGAACATGTATGAGGTCTTTTGAGACACATATTTGGTCCTTGGCATATGTATATGATTCTTAAGGAATTTTTCTACGTGGTCCTTAGGGACATCTTATATAGCACTACGGTACAATTCTAAGCGGCACTTCGGTGCAATTCTACGTGGCACTTCGGTGCATTTATACGAGCTATGGTGACAGCATTAGTGCACAACCTCTAATGACTCACATATCAATAGTTCTCATATTCGTACATGGGCTAATCAAGAGATAATAACAAATATATATTGTGATATGATAAATTTTATAGCAATGACATGATAAGGTATGGGTATAGTATATGATTAAGAAGGTTAAGTATATGTGCTATGTGATTTAATGATAAGTGACAAATGATGATTCATATGTATGCATGTATTTCTTATTAGATAATCTGATATGATTTATATGGTGATGTTTGTACTGCTTAGTTAATTAAATCATATGTTGAGTAAAAGAATAAATATAAGAGAATATAATTATAAGATATAAATGATAAGAATATTGATAGTGGAGTAAGGTTAGAGATGAAAACAATGTGTGATATGTGTATACTACATTATATATAATGTTATATTGTTTTGATGTGGCATTATAAGATGATATGTTCATGCATGTGTAATTAGTTAGAGTTCTTTTATAAATTAATGCCTCACTAAGTCATAGACTTAGCGTGTAAGTGATTTACACGTAGGTTTCAAGAAGAGTAAAGAGCGATGTGGAGCAAGACAGGTCAGCATTTTCTTACTGAAGGTCAGATCAGAAGAGAGGTGAATAATATGTATTTTAATATATAAAGTTTTAGTTGGCATGTATTCAAAAGAATATATTGTATAAGCTCTGAATGGTTCTGTAAACGTTTTGAATAAGTTATATGTTATAAAAGTTTTAAATTACTCACTATTTTAGACAAGTAAATGTTTTGAAAAGTCAATGTGGCACCTCGGATCCGAATCTATGTCAGATACGGGTTGGGGGTGTTACAGTACGTGGAAAAAAAAGAACATTATAGTATAAGCTCTGAAAGGTTCAGTAGTGAGGAAAAGGTGAGTGCAACTTAATCATTTAATTATTCTGATCGAGGGAGACTTGCGATAAGTTAACCTCGTATGATTTTTAAAATATGATTTAGTTTTAATTATGGGATAATTCCATAATGTTTTTATAAAAGTTTTAAGAATGATTTATGATTTAATTTGGGTATGAATTACCCAATATGTTTTTATAAGAAATTTTCTAAAAAGATGTCTGAATGAATTATCAGAAATGGTTTTCAGGTATGAACGGTCCAAAGTATCAATTTTTATGATGATGAATAAGGAGTGATTCTAGTTGAAAATATTTATATATTTTAAATGAATATAATATGGTTTGAAAAGCCCATTGTATGTTGCATTGAGAGTCGTAAGTACAATTGGCACGCTATGAGGTGGAGTGATTATGATTATGATCTGGTACATTTGTGTACATTATGTGTAGCACCGTTGGTGCAAACGATATGAATGCACTTGGAGTGTATGTTTTGATTACGATGATAGCACTGAAGTGCTAATTGCTCACACTCGTTTGACTCAAGTACTTTGCATTCTCTTACATATACATTGGGATAAAAATATGAAAGATAAAACTTCTCAAAGGTATTTAAATGAAAAAGAAACCTGAAAGCGAAAGTTCTGAAATGTATCTAAATGTAAAAACTTCTAGAATGTGTCTGAGGAGCAGGAATCTTAAATGTTGATTATGATCGATATTGATTACTATGATTCTCATAAAAATATGAGATTATGATATTTAGGTTTCTGACGAGCAAAAGCGGCTTGAATAAGTCGATTTGAAATTTCAACGATTTCATTTAATTTTTTTTACTGTTTTGAATTATTATCATGATATTTTATTTTAGCTCACCTTAAGTAGGTTATACTACCTCACTAAGTTTTGCTTAAAGTGTGATGAATTTCACGTGTAGGTTCAGATAAAAGAAAGAACGTGAAGTGAGGAGTCCTCTGATACATCTTCACAGTAATCAACCTATCTACAATATTAGTAAGACATCTTAGGTATTAATTCAATTTTATTGGCATGTATAAGTTATTGTTTGGTAGCTCTGGTCTATTTCTATTTAAAATGGTATATATTAATAAAGTAGGATTGGTTTATTTTTTTAGCATAATTATATCCGATAATATGATCAAATAGTACTATATCATAAAATGTTTTTAAGAGGAAAATCCCAACGATTTTAAAGTTAGCAACATTAAGACAGTTTTATAAGTGTTGCGAAACAACACTACATTGCCCAATTGTTGTCTAAAATCGGATTTGATTTGAATTATAGATTATTATTTTTACAATATTACTCAACTATTAAGACGAATATAATTTATTAAACTGAGCTTTTGAAATGGATCAAAATTTTAAGGGTTTCAGTTCAAAGAAAATAGGAATATTTAATGTGACATCTATAACTCATATTTTGGGACGTATACGGGTTACGAGTGTTTTATATATATATATATATATATATATATATATTTCTAAATACTATCAACCATTTGACAATGAACACTCAATCACCCTTGTTGTAGTGGTCGATGCTCAAACCTGAAATTTTTAAAAATATCAACCATTCATTTAACTATTGAAATAAATTGGTTAGTGCAATTTACCCTTTTTAGAATTACATAGTAAGATATTAATTTTGACCTTAAGTTTAGGAGTATATAACACATACATATTTTTACTGCCGTGAAATCATGCTTTTTGAAGTGAAGAGTGTGCAGTTTCTTTCGTAGTACATCAATTATTACAAGCTTCTTCATCTTCAAAAAGCAAGCGAAAAAAGAATCACAAAGCTGTTTAAGAAGTACTCCAAATGGTATAAGGCTTTTTCTAGATCCGCATGCATTCGTCCCTTGCTTTGCACCGAATTGCTCCTCCTCTCTTCCATCAACTGCTCACATGTTTTTCTTTCCCAATCTAATAGTAAAACTTGTGTGTTGTATGCAGATAGTGTTCCAGCTTAACCACATCATTAAAAATGAATTTTTGTTAATAACAATAAATGGCTTTCATTAGCTATTAATGGTTCATCCTTTCTGATTTAAACGGAAAATCATGACCGGTGAAAAAACCAATTATTGACCATTATTTTTCTGTGTGAGAGAGATGATCATAAAATAGCAGAGATAAGCTAAGGTGTGGGTATTCGAGGATTCAATCCTGTTATCAGTTTTCGTTGAAAACATTTAATACATACAAGATTATTGTAGCTATTCGTGAATAGAGACAGTCTTAAGCATGCCAACTATAATAAGTTTAGGCAAAACTAAAGTCCACATAACTTGAAGAAGAGACTTAAAGCATTAATGCTTGACTCAGTGACTGAGTTACACATATATATATTGGTTGATTTGTACATGCATGGCTCAACAGTTCTAGCCAGCTTCCCATTTCCGTAACCTAGCTAGCTAGCTAGCTAGATTAAGCGTTGGGCCTCAAAAAGGAGAGAGAAAAAAAACTAAGGAAATAAAGATATGTTACTAAAAAGAAACCATTGTTGCTCTTCATCATGGTTCACCGGTCTACCTCCGAAGCACTTACAAGGCTTCGCATTACATCGACCTGAGCTCGGAGCGATACGATATAGTCTAGACTTTCCTCAATCAACGAACCTTCATTCATTAATTCTCCCCCAGGGATTAAATTTTTCAAAATCCTTGTTCTTTCCCTAACTAACCCTTTTGATCTTCTTCTTATTCTTCTGCAACTCCTTTTAAGTATCTTCTTGCTTCTGATCCTCCTGCTGTACTCCGTTGACGCTCCTTTCGAAACTAGATGTTTGTCATGTTTTGAATAAGCATTGGCAATGAGGGCTCGACTCCAACGAGTCGTACCGTTTCTTGCAGAAGCCATGGCTATATCTGCAGACAACTTTATAGCCTTTTTCCTTTCCAAGATGCCCATTTCCTTCTTCGAAAAGCTCCATCTTTGGAGACCCATTATCCAGTTCTTGAGAAACTCTAGCTTCAGTGAATTACAAGGACGCATCCTACTGCGAAAAGAAGAGAGAGAAAAAAAGCCATGAGCCATGCAATTCACTTTCTTAGTTTATCCTATAATGCTCGTTAATATTGAAGAAGAACGTACCTTTCTTCTATATACTATTCAAGAGAATGAGGAAAAAACTTTTGCAGAAGTTCAACAGATCCAAGAAAGTGTATCAAAGATTGAGGTCCAGAAACACACACATATATGTAAGTGTGGAGAAATATAGAGAGAGAGAAAGGAATGGGAAAGAGAAGAAAGGGCATTTATTTGCTCCAAGGAAAGAACTGGGGCCTAAAAGAAAGAGACAGAAGCACAGCACATGCAAGCACATGGAATGCAAGGCCCACCGCATAAGGGATATATTAAAACAAATAGAGTAAATTAAGCATTAATTACTTAAACTATTAGTTTTGATCCATTTTAATATTTAAATAAATAAATATTCAATTTTTCAAAGGCTTAATACTAAAATAAGTCCCTAAACTATATCAATTTTCATGAATAGGTGATTAAACTATTTTTTGACTCATTCATGTATATAACGTTACAAACATTACCACTTTAGGAGTCTCGATTTTTAATGGCCGTTAAAAAAACCCATTAAGTGACACTTGTCATAATATGATAATTTTGGAAATTTATTCTTTTTAAAAAATAACTTAATAATATTTTGTTTTTGAAAAATCCTCATTTTTTATAGAATATATAAAATCCAAACTCTCTAAATCTCTTATTCTAGTCTCATTTACTTCAACCGTCAATCATCTTCAGCCACCTTTCCACCAACGACTGATCACCCATACGTCGTCGACCATCACTAACCGGTCATAACCCTTGTTATCATCTCAAAACCTAAAATTTCTAAATCCAAAATACTCAATCCCTTAAATCCTTTTGGTTGATCATGGTAATTGACTGTTTATCCAACTGTGACAGCCGACCCCTTGGCCATTTGGTCTATCGTTTAGTCATTCATTTGACCATGGAAACTAAAATTATGAGCACTCCAAGGGAGGGGAGGGAAAGGGAAGGGGGCACAAGTGGGTTGAGTTTTTTTTTTTAATTTTAGTAATATTTTTATTTTTAAGAAAAATAATTTTTTTTGAAATTTAAGATTGTGACATGTGTCACTTAATGGGGTTTTATAACGACCATTACAACCGAGACACCTAAAGTGATAACGTTTGTAACATTAGACACCTATATGAGTAAAAAAAATAGTTTAGGCACCTATTTATGAAAAGTGGTATAGTTTGGACACTTATTTTGGTATTAAGCTTTTTTCAAAACCATACATAAAGTTTAGTTTTTGTTTCATTTTAGTACTCGCTGTTAAAAACTTTAGTTTTTGTTTTATTTTATTATCCCGTTCAAAATTTAATGTTAAGTTATGAAAATAATTAAATGTTTAGATATTAAAACATATCAAAATTGATAGTTTAGGTACTAAAATTGATAATTTAGGTACTAAAATAAATCAAAGATGACAATTTAGGTACTAAAACGGATCAGAACTGATAATTTAGGTACTAAATACGTTAAGTTTTTACTGACGGATATTAAAATGAAATGCAAACTAAACATTAAGTATGGTTTTAAAAAAATTGAACGTTTAAGTACTAAAACAGATAAAAACTTATAATTTAGATATTAAATACATAGTTTACTCAAATATTATTAATATCATACTTAGATAAATATAATATAATATAATATAATATAATATAATATAATATAATATAATATAATATAATATAATATAATATAATATAATATAATATAATATAATATAATATAATATAATATAATATAATATAATATAATATAATATAATATAATATAATATAAAGCCAAACCTAACATTTGAAACTTCTTATGAATACAAACAAAACTTTTAAAATGGATATTTTTACCGGCTAACTCTAATTTACTAATTGCGAGGAAGGAATAACATTCATGCTACGTTTGATCACATAAGTATTGTAATACAAGAAAAATCATAATTACTGTATGAGTTTTAACATAATTTGTCAAGATATAAATAAGAATTAGTTGAAATTTAGATTTTAAAAGAGTAATATTTATTCAAAAATAATATATATTCATTATCTTAATTACTAATAATGTGAATAACTGAAATTATTAAATAAAATTAATTTATTATTAATTGATGTAAAAATATATATAAAAAAAACTAATACTTCTACCTAGGGGTTCTACTTATGGGTGAGCATTAGATCAAGTTAAGTTGAGTATCGAGTTATTCGAGTTGACGAATCGTATTTTGTGACTTGAAAATTTTCAAGTCGAGTTGAGTTATTCGATTTTCTATACAAATTTTATCATAATGATTTATAGTATTATGGTAAAGATTGATTCTAATTTTTTTTATTTTCTCTAACCATATATATTTCTTTATATTCTTTTCATATTATATGTTATTGAATATATCAAATACAATATAAAAGTACAAAATATATTTACAATAATATATTTTGAGGATAAAGTATTGATGAGTGTCAACACACCTTTTCGTCCTACTAGGATTCAAACTCCTAAAAATATAATAAAATTTTGCTAGAATTCAAACTCCTAAAAATAGGATAGAGTTCTACTATTATTTAAACTCCTGAAAATAAGATCCACAAGCATTATAAATAGTCATTGTAACTCACTATTGTAAGACATTCGGAAGAGATATACGAAATACCAAGTAAAAAATTACAAGTAACTCGTAGCCATTTTTCGAAGCATTTATATTTTGAAAGGTAAAGTTCGTACTTTCGCATGTTATTTTTTCTTACCCTTGCTGTGTTTTGATTCAAAAGAAAACCGAGAGAAGTGTTTTTGGCCAATGAACTGGGGTGTTTTCGAGATCTATTTTTGTAGATCTAGCCCTTGTGTTTTTTTTGAAAAACTATTCGGATTTTTATAAACGGGTCGTGTGGATCCGTGTGTTTTGCCTCTACAGTGGGTTAATGCCCATTTCGGTCCCCCTGATTTTAAATACACGCATATTCATTTTTTCTTCAATTGGCTTTTAATTTCGACCCCTAATTCATTTTTTGTTTTAATTTAACCCTTATTATTTATATGTATATATATATATATATTTAATTATTTTATTTATTTATTATAGTTCTCTTTTTTTCATTTTTTTGCATTATATTATATTTTCCTATTATATATATATATATATATATATATATATATATTTTTTATCTATGTTTACTTATTTACTATTTTTTTACTATATTTTCCTAACGTTATATATATATTCTTACTTCATTTTATTTTATATTTCTATGATTACTATTTTTTAGTTAATATTATATGTATATTTATTTTTCATTTATTTATTATTATTATTACTATTTAGTATTTTATTATATTATACATACATTTATATATATATATATATATATATATATATATATATATATTTTATTTATACTATTTATTTATTTTCATTATATTTTTAGTTTCTTTGCTCTTATTATTATTTTTCTTTTTTTAAAAAACACTTTACCTTTTTTATTCTTTTTGTATATATATTTTATCTTCAATTAGTTTATTTTATTCAATTCAATTTCATTTTATTTTTTTTTGTTTCATCCAATTATTTTATGTTTATTATTATTGGTTTCATTTATTTCCTTGGTTTACTCTTTAGTTTTGTTATTTTCTTTTATTATTATTATTTTCTTTTAACATCTTATTTTTTAAGGGTATTTCCGTAAACTCATTAAGGGTAAGTAATTCGGATCAAATTTTACCTTTTAATTTAACTTGCAATTTTCTTAATCAAAGAAAACTGGAAATTACGTAGTACCGAAAGGGCGGTTCAAGGGTGCTAATCCTTCCTTGACCGTAACCGACTCCCGAACCCGACACATCTTTGGAAAGACGTAGATCATGTAAGAAATAGGGTATCCGATCAACCCATTTGTTTTAAATAAATGATCGGTGGTGACTCCAATCCACATTTTTCAAGTCGAAGCCCAATTCCGGGGCCCAACTGAAAGACGGTTGCGACAGCTTGGCGACTCTGTTGGGGAGACAGGTAAGTGAGTCAGGCTAAGGTGATTTCCAGTTGTCTTTTTAATGAAAAGGGTAAGTTTAAATTTTAAGGTAACATTTCGATCCTTATTACTTACTTTTGATTATATTTTCGAGTAAATAGTTGTACTGACCGTTTTTAATGATTTCAGTCCTTAAAGATTTTTCATCTAAGGCTCTAAACCCGAGCTCCAAACCCTGCTTTAAGTGAGGGTGAAAGCGATGCCTTCGTGTGAATTTATTCATCGTGCGGGCCTAGCAAGTAGCCTTCGGGATTCATATACCTTATGTCTTCGTGTGAATTTATTCACCGTGCAGGCATAAGGGAATGTGTCCCCTCGAGTTTAACTTAGTTCACACAAGCCTGTGATGGGTTTAGGACTAAGGGTCTAGCAAGCCCAAGGGGGCACCGGCAAGGAGAACTCGGGTACCGTTTTTAGAACCTAAACTGGGAGACCATGTAGAATTAGAGCCTACCCCAAAACCACATTTCCAAAACCTAGGATATTTTTACCTTAACCATGTCTTTTTTTTCCTTTCGTCATTTATTTATTTATTTATTTATTTTACTAACATTTCTGCCTTTGTGTTTGTTTTTTTAGCATTTGCATCATAACAAGAGGCTATTGATCCTTAAAAAGCGTTTGTTACACATAAAATAATCTGAATTAATGGACAAAGGTATTGTAATACAAGAGATTAAGAACGCCGAGGCATGACTATGGTCCGAGATGACTCATAAAGAGAAGGGAGACAGTCTTCAGGGGAACTACGTGTCAGAGCTGGTTAGCTATGCCTCTGTCAGCCTGAAACAGAATGATGTCCAAGAGTTGCGAAACATTTGGGACAGTTAGAAGAATGACAGAAAGCAAAAGTTCAGCCAACGATATGGTGATATTGCCCTCTTACTTCATGTCAAGACTGATGAGCCCCTGCTCCGA